ATCCAACTAATGGCTTGGCTATCCACATATATATGCTATGAACCATTTTTTTTCTTTTACCAAGAGAGCTAGAACTGCATATAGACTCATACTTCTCCAAATGTATCCATTATCTAATAACGTCATAACCTATCTCTATTAATTATTGATTTATTTGTATTTAAGTCTATAAGCTAGTCTATTTGGGAGACTAGAATCTGAATCAAGTCAATTCGGTGTTAGATATCTTACATGGGAGGTAATTCTTAGAGTAATTTGTCTAACATAAATTTGTAAATTCTATCAGCACATCTTGTAATTTCTCAAGGCTATCAACATCATCATCATCCTTAATTATTATACTATTAGTTACTAGGTCATCCACTACTTGTTCGCCTTATATCTCCTTTATAAACTGTGATAAAAAACAGCAAATCTTTTTTTATATATAGTTTTTATATCTACTTTCTCTTTTATAGATGCCAAAGTTATACATTTCTCTTTGATGCTTTGGGTGTATGTATTTTTTTTTACCATCATGTACCACACTCCTATCAATTTATCATAGCCTTCCCAATAAAATATAGCACAAGTCTATAGACACCACATCGCACCAAACACTATCAAAATATTTTTATTCTATATAAAAGGAAAAATTATAGCATTTATCAATAATTACCTCAATGTCTATATTCATCCATGTTGACTTATAAGGCTTAAGATAATTTTTAGTAGTAAGTTAAAGCTTCTTCACCACCCTATAATTAAGTTCCAAACCTTGTTTTTAATAATGCATGTAGAGTATAAGTTATTAGTAAGTCACCAATCCTATTCTAAATCACTTTTGGGCATTATCAAATTATTTTTAATAATAAAGATAATACCATCATTTCTATACAATATCTTTACATCACTTCTCAAGTCATCATTATACTTAAGATCAGTTATATTAGTAGGCTCTTTTATTAGCAAGTTTTTTCTTCGATGACTCATTATTTTGCCATACTTACTAGCTCGTTGCCCTAATTTATCATATCTTAAACAACAAATTTTAAAGTCAAAACCCTAACCCATTGTCTGTTGGTTCTATTAGGCTAGCTTAGGTTATGTGGTGGTACCTATCTAATTATTATTATGTCATCCTTTTTTATTATTCTAATATGCCTGAAGATTTTTAATAAGCAACATGTTTTTTTATTTATTGTCGATGCACTTTAATGGGCCTAAAAAAATTATTCATAAAGACTAAATACATAATAGATCTTGTATGAACTATTGTAGACCATATAGATACATTGCCATTAATTGTTCTTCCATTTCTGTCAAACCATTTTGAGCTATTAACTAGTAGAAATTATCAATGAATTATCAGCAAACTTGCCTCTTGCTTTAGCATATGAAGCCTTGGATATAGGGTGTAGAAATAGCTAAAAAAAAGGTGTTCCCTCATCTTCTTCTTTATCTTATATCATTAATTGATTTTTGATTTTTAATTTTATCTCTTTCATGTCTTCTTTAATTGTTCCCCCCAAACAAATGATTAGCCTTTTAATTTAATTGTGATTAACTTAACTCTCATTAATTGATTTTTAATTTTTGATTTTATCTCTTTCGTGTCTTCTTTAATTGTTCCCCCAAACAAATGATTAACCTTTTAATTTAATTGTGATTAACTTAACTCACACTTGCTAAGGAACCTCTTTATGCTAAAATATACTCTTAACTTTGTTCAACCAATCTATGATAAAGTTTTAGAAAACTCAAAGAGTTTGATATGAAGCCTGAAATCTTCAAATTTGACCACTTTCTTTTGATAAGGTTGTCTCCTCTAATTATACCTTTGGTTTTCAGTATTAGCCAAGGACTTATGGTCACTCTCTTGGGTTGGTTCTTGTTGCTTTTTATTTTTTAACCTATAAGTCAATTCTATGATTTGCCTTTTCATATCCTTTTTGATGAGTTTCTGGATGTATCCCTACGAAAGAAGAGCCTTTTCATCCCTTTCGGCAATGTCTTGCTTCATAACCTATGGTTGTTGGGAACATATATCAAGCAAATAATTATTCATGAAATTATAAAGTTGTAGCACACAACAAGAAATATAAAATATAGGATTGTTGAGCTCTAATTACCAACTAATATAGACAAAATCTAATAGGATAACAATAACATAGAAAACATAAAAATTTAATAAGCAAAAAGGATTACAAATGTGAATTTTAAATTCACAATTTTATTTTATGAAATTAAATATATGGTGGTTACTTCTTCAATAGGTTTACAAGACTTTTAAATAGGTCAGGAAAACATGCCTCTTGTAAAAAATAACCTATAGCCTAAAAAAATTAAAGAAATTAAAACATAATCCAAAATAAATCTAAAAAATCCTAGGAAAATAACAAAATTAAATCGCATAACTTTTGGGCTTAATTCTAGGATATCCAATGGTCTAATAAGCATAGAGTGGCTTCTTATAAGAAAATTGCATGTGAAATCACCTAGAAAAATTTGACCCCGATTTAATGATCGGATCTCCGGTTATCTCAATTTTAAGACGCTTGTTTAACCTATGCAACCAAGCCTTTTCTTGAGCCCAAACCTGTCATATTGGTCTATAAAAGCATCTACTAAGCAATCTATATAGTCTACTTGTTAAATCTCCATCAAGTAGTGTCAAATCCTTACCTAAATTCTTGGAACCTTTAGTTTCTACTGTTACTATAGAATTAAGGCAACAATAACACAGGGGGTGAATTAGGTGTTCTACTAATATTAACAAAAAATGCAATTTAAAACAATTAAGCACACTAAGCATAATAAATACAATAACCAACAATATAATTATAGTGGTTAAAATAAATAGGTAAAGGAAAAGAGATTGCAAACTCAGGTTTTTAACGTGGTTCAGCAAGCTTATATCCACACCTCAAGTACCAACCAAACTTATGTATTGTATTCTTTTAATAATTCAAGTTAAAGATACAATATCCTTGATGAATCCATACCAAGTTTATACGCTGCTTGAAGATATCCCCTACTCGAGGTTTTTCTCTTGGAGACAATACTTCACCAATGCTAAGAGTTTATTCAAACTCTCAAGTTTTTACAAGTGTTTTGTAGTCACAAAATACTCTCATTGAAGTGGATTTTATAATTCATAATCTATGATTTATATAGCTCACTTAATAGCACTTAAGGGATTTGAAAGTGTTTAAGTGTTGTGAGAATGAGAATATATACTCTTGTATAAGATTATAAAAGTTTTAATGTATAAATATGAGTGTTATTAAGGATTGATGATTTTGAAGTTGTTTTGCTCTCAAAATAGCTTGTACATGATATATGTTCAAATTTTTTATCTAATTCTGTAATTTTGATAAGCTATATATATAATTCTAGTAAAAACTAGTAGTTTTATAGTTGTTATTGTTCCTTTGATAGATAAAACGGTCGATCAGTTCATATTGGTTAGGATAATCGGTTGACCAGTTGCTATAAATTCTTAGGAAAGAACAAATAGTCAACCAATTCACTTGATATAGTCAATTAGTCGATCGGTTCAACTTAAAAACCTAGATTTGACAATTTTAAACCTAATGAATTTTAAACCGATTAAATGTATATCAATTATATAATACATGCAATGTAAAGTGTGTGAATTCATTTGAATTTGTACTATCAAGTAAGATATAAAGATTTACACAATTTATAATAAAAGTAATTCTTAAGAATTAAGTCTTCACTTACTTTGTTTTTTAAACTAATTGATTATTTTTTTATTTAATTCTTCATGCTTGCTGATGTAATTTTTATTTAAAACTTTTTAAATTTATTTTCAATCAAACATATTATTAATCTATTTTTATTTAATTGGTATCCTCAAAATATATAAATATTAATATTTAACCTAATAGGCCCTAGCCGCGTGAGCATTCCTGCTCACCTAAAATGAGACAAAACAGCAGCATAGAAGTACTTTTTAGCATCTTTTGATCTAAGAACAGCATTTGACTTTATTCCACGAGAGTTAGGAGAATACAAAGAATGCAACCAAATCCATCCGTTATAGCATATAAACCCCCTAATATTCTAAAGCAGGACACTACACAAACAATCCCTAATAATGCCTTGCCATCGGCTAAGCCTATCCTCATCAGCTTTCTTGGGAAACCATTGGCACCTCACAGGAAGTTCCACAGGTCACATCCAAAACAGCATCCACTATTGTCATCCAAAACACTTCCTCCTGGTTCATACCAGTAGCTGACAAGTTGTCACGCAGAAAAGCAACCTCCAATCTACTTGTTCAAATTACCACACATAACTATGTAGAACTTAGCTACAGATCTAAACCAACAGAGAGAGCATAAAGACCATGTTAATAGATTTGTCTGCCTCTTGCTAGCTTTAAAAAAAACCAACAGAAAGGGCATTCTAGCTTGTCCTCTTCATTCTTATGTTGTAGCTGCAGGACATCCTGCTTCATTAGAACATGTCTCATATGAGTTGTAGCTGCACATCAGCATCAACTACTACACGAAGTAGAAGAACCATCACAAAACATTAACACATCTCTAATTAACTTCACATTCACAGTGAAGTCGAAAGCCAGACAAACATAAATTAATCTTATAGGCTAATACTATTAATTAACAAGTTCTAAAAATAATTATTTCAATTATTTAAAATGAAAATCAAATTCCTCGAATTACAAAATGGATACAAAATGAAATCGGGGACTAATCAGCAAGAATTGTTGGACTCCATGACGCTGTTGATTTTCAGGGAATACTTGTCGTTTAGCAACATCAAGCTGGGCCTCACCATCGGAACAGGCGACGGAGATGAAGGATGGGTCGGTTAGGTTTGGTTTTGATGGAAGGCGTCGACGGTGCTTCGTTTAGTATACTCTCTGATGTTGTAATCGGGGAACTGGCGGGCTGGGCGTAGAAAAGAGGGGTACAGATAATGGATTTCGCCTAATGAGATACCGACTGACATACGGAGATCGGCTTTTAAAGTAGCTCAATCATCTTACATGAATTCCAATCTCAGGCGATCCAAAACTATAGACAGCACATGAATTGCTCAAAATGCCTGTATCTCACAACTGTTCGTCACGCTTAAGAAAGATATACAGGTCAGTGGAAAAACCGGAAGGCACACTCTGAAAAGCGAAAAACACTGCCAGATCGAATATGTAGAAGCCTCACAGTAACTTACCATGCAACACCAGACTCCTAGAAAAAGTCACTTGACGAGCAACAAGTGTCAGCCTATATAGCAATCTTATGTTAAATCAATACACAGCTCTTTTTATATTTATGGAGTAAGCTCGCAAATAAGCACAAGTGAAAATATATGGGGTATTAGATGATTTGTACTTCTATCCCTCACTATTGCCCAACGTGAAGAGAATGCAATGGGCTCGTGCTAGTTTCAGTCCAGTGATCCTTGTGGTGGTTACCTGCTTTCCATTAAAATCAGGGCAAGGCCATACACCCACTTTGAAGCTCTCTCTCATGCAAGAAAATGCATGCTGGACAAGGCCATTACGCATTCCTCTTCAGCTAGCAAAAGGAATTGCTTCATAGAGTTGACGACACTAAATTGTTCTTGAACTGGCAAGGATACAACTAAAACTTGAGAACCATCTTTTCCTGGACTGGATGCACTCCCATTAGCCCAGATGTCCATGGTTGTTGTAGAACACTTAATGTCTTTCCACCATCTGCTATCCTCTGCATCCTTAAAAGTCTGCTGGATCCATTTATAGAGCATAGCGCTGCCTCTTATCAAAAAATTAGCGTCACTGATCCGAGGAATAACCCTTTTTTCTAGGTATCCTATGTTGTACTAAAAAAGTCAAATAGGAAAAAATAAAAATTGATTTCCGTTTTAAGGGGCGTGCAAACAACCAAAAAATGAGATACTATATTTTATGCACTCTAGCATCAGTTCATAATCATGAACAGTACATGTATATATTATATATCCAAATCATCATCTGGGTCCTCGTCAGAATCTGGCGTCTCGTCATCTGAATCACGAAAATATATTATCTCACCTTCACCAGAGTCAGTTTTTTCGGAATTCCCACTTGAAGAAAGAGTTGCCTCAGTTTTGCTCTCTGTAAGAGATCTTCGACCATCATAGATATGAATAGGTCCACCGTCACCTAAAGCAAACAAAAGTGAAGGTTAAGAATTGATGTAGAAGCAAAAATCTTGTCATTTCTAAGATTAAATAAAATCTCAAGTGAAGGAATCAAATCTATTAATCAATCCACGTTTCCACACCTTGGTGCTCAAAAGGCAGTACAACCTTAGCCCTGTCAATTCGTTCTTTCTCCGTTAACTCTAGATTAAACTGCACCTGTTGAAAGAAGCACCAGTTTCAGAAAAATGAGTTAAGTTACACAAAGTATATCTGCTATCCTGGGGGTGGCACATGTGCATGGGTGCATGTACTGTTGTGTGTGCGAGAGAGAACACTCCACACTGACCTTTGGCACAAGGCCTTGATTAATTTGATTAACTAGCCCATCTTCAGATGAAACAGATGTAAAATTGTTGCTTGACTCATCAATATGAAATCCTTCATTCTAAAAACAGAATAAAAATCCGTTACAGCAATTTGATGCTTCATAATCAGGGGCAACAGATCCCACCAGACCCTTCCAAAAAATAGAAGAAAGAAAGAAAGCAAAGAGAGAAAAGGAGAGAGACACCAACCACCACACGAACACGCCCATTCCGGCGCTTGAATCGGACTTGAAGCTTTCCTTTCCCAAAGTTCTGTTCCAACAAAGAGAGGTTTTCTAAATCCCCCCTCTTTCCATCAGCATTTTGATGCAGTGGTTCTACACTGGCCACCACAGAGGACAGATATTCAAGAGCAAATGTAACTTTGACTTCATGAAGGTCTGAATGTAACAACCAAAAGATGCTAGAAATCTGCTCTGCAATCATGAAACAACAGTGAATATACACTCAATATTAAACCACGTCAATGTCATCAAAACCCTTCTGCCAATCCTAAAGGATTCAGATTTATTTAAAAGGAAAGGCAAACCATTAATTTTTAAGTATTTAAACACCAAAGATATAGTTCTTGTTCTAAGCCAAGTGACAGCAGAAATATCAAAGGAAAACAGTGCATTAAATTAGAGAAAGTCTGAGGGGGGAAAAAACATAAATGCTAATACCATGGCTACGAAGGTTGCTTAAAAGGCCTGAAACTGTTGGTGTAGATGTATGTCTTAGCATTTCATTTATCTGGTTAAAATTGTGAAGAATCCATCAGAATGAAATCATAGAAGAAAAGGGGCAAACATATGAGCTGTACGACGTGAAAGACTTCTCAACATTAAAACTGAGCATTCTGACATCTTGTGCTGTCACTAGAATTTTATATAGAAGGACAAACTACAACAAGTTCAATATCTCACAAGTTAAACAAAACTATTAAATTATGATAACAGGTTGAAATTGTTCTTTTGGTGATTTAACAGCAAAAAAATATACACTGTATTGATCAGGTTTTTGAAGAACTGTAATGATGAAGGAAGCGTTGTGCCATTCCCAATGATGGCCAACATCATCCCTATGTCCTAGGATCCATTCTAGTGCATTAGAACATGCCTCGAGAAATAAGGAGAATGATTTCGATACCAATCAACAAATTCTCTGGGTTTTCCATAGGCACTGTCCATGTGAGCATGCCTGCTCTGAATTAAACTGGGACAAAAAAGCACTATGCAAGTACCTTTTGGCATCTTTTGATCTAAGAACCATATTTCAAATTTATTCCATGTGAGTTAGGAGAAAACAAAAAATGCAATCAAATCCATCCATTTCAGCATATGAACCTCCTAATATTCTGAAGTAAGACACTAGACATACAATCCCTAATAATGCCTTCCTTCTGGCTAAGCCTGTCCTCATCAGGTTTGTTGGGAAAACATTGGCACTTCACAGGAAGTTTCCACAGGTCACATCCAATATAGTAACCCAAAATACTTCTTGGCTCTATCAGTGCTTGACAAGAAGTTTCCACACAGAAAAGCAACCTACAATCCATTTGTTCATATTACCACACATAACTAAGCGGAACTTAGTTAGACCTAAAGCAACAATTTACTAGAAAATCATTAGACCACACCAGCACGATCACCTGAACTTCATTTAAACTTAACAGTGATGGCCATAGCCCTAAATTTGCATATTCTAAACACATTTATCAGAGATTCAAACTTGCAGGTTCCAGAATTACCGAATCTATGGCAACAGAAAAACGATCCTTTCCTTGTCCAACCAACCCTGCAAGTAAAAACACAAAAAACTACTCGCAAATTAACCAATTGATGGACCAAACAGTTTTCTAGGCACAATACTTCTCAGAAGAATCCACTTTTCTTGTAGTTCCATTATTGCCATATCTCTCACATACAAAACCAAGCAGCAACAAAAATTCACACAGAACTTGCCTTTCCCCAGTTCAAGAATCATAGAGTACAACTTGTCCAAATCCTTCACATCCTTACAGACACGGCTCAAACTTGAAGAAGTTTCATGGGAAGCATCCATGAAATTTCCTGACCCCATAAGCTGATCCTTCCAACAAAGCGGATCCGTATAACAATCCAAAATCTGAATCCTACAACAACAATAATTCAGCACACATGTCCCCGTCCATAAATCACTTCATAAAATCTACAATCCCCACATGTCCCCGCCCATAAATCACTTCATAAAATCTACAATCACAAAAAATAACACGATTTTACCAAAAACATAAAAATTATATATATATATGTATAAAAACACTTAATGTTTTTTTTCCATTTCCTTCACTTTCACAATAACCAAACAGTGTGTATAGAGTAAAAAAACTTTTTACCATTTATGAGATGAATTTACATCAATCCCTCTTCTTTTCAGTAAATCCACGTAAAACGAAGGGCTCCGTGAAAACGCAACAATCACAATACCACTGCAACATCAATTAATTAAACTCGATTAAATTAATAAAACAACAAGAGGGACCAGAAACAGCGTGGTTTAGAATTGGACATACTGGGACTGGGATTTGGAGCCTAAAATGAAGGAGGAGAGCTGGGAGAGCACGTGAGAGAAGACGTGAAAACCGAAAGGAGAAGCTGCAGTATCTTTGATAGTAAGAGCTGGTGCTTGCTCTCCTTCCAACGATCCGTCTCGTAGGGTTCTGCACATTGATTCTGCCATTGTTGACTCTCAGAGATTTTGAGAACTGCAAGTAAAACCCTAATTTTGAGGGTTCTTGAGAAGATTTTGGGGGCTTTCGTAGTTAGGTTCCTGAATTTTTCTCAAATATATATATATATATAAAATAAATATATTTGTAGTTAGGTTCCTGAATTTTTCTATTATTACTAAATGGCCCTAAAGTTTGAATTTGTTTAGTATTTTTTTTATTTGTGTACTTTGTTAAATTTATTAATTCTCTTAAAATTGCTGCATATTTTTTTAAAATCAAAATTAGTTAGGAGCTTTCATATAAGTTTTTCGTTTTTCCTAAGAGATTTAGTAAATAAATAGGATTTTTTGAGGGAAATAAATAAGAAGTTTTGGTTTAAAAGGTTTGTTAAGACAATTTTGAGAAAAAAAATCAAAGAAAACTTATTATTTTGCAATATTTTAATTTTTTATAAATTAGAAGCTAAATTATTTTTTATATTAAATAGTGGCTCGCCTGTTAAATAGATTTACAGACATTAGAGAGAGAGAGCGAGAGAGGAAATTAAAAAAATAATTTTAAATAAATAAAAATATTTTTATCATTTTTTTATGCTATACATAATCTGTTATGTCATTCTTATATCTATTTCTGTGCAAATTCAAGCATGGTAAAATTTTTCTTCCTATAAAATTAAAATTAGAGCTTTTCTTTTGTTGTTTAAAATAAAATAAAAGTTATTGAATAATAACTATTTTTTAAAATATTTTTTTATTTTAAAAATCAATTAAAATAATATTTTATTTTAAAATTCTATTTTTTAACTTAATATATCAAAATAATTTAAAAAACATTAATTTAAAATAAAAAAAAATATTTTTAAAACGGTGTAGTCACAACACCAAACATGTTTTTAAAATATTTGATTTTAGAACTTCTCTTCTCTTTTTTTTTTTTTTTTTTTTACTAATCTTCTTCAAAACTCACAAAAACACCTCCCACGAGTAGTATATTGCTAAATTATTCTGAAAGATAGGATATGAAATTATCATGGGATTGAACATTAAAATATGAGGAAATTGAATCTTTCCCAAATTAGAAATTAATAACATGAACTTGTCAATCCAAAGTTAGAACGACAGTACCAAATCTTGTTAATAGAAAATTACAAACTGTCAAAGGTCAAATTCCCTCCGTTCAACAGAAAGTGATCGCAAATCCTTTATTAAAATCGGAAAGACCACGACCAGTAAAGCAACAGTCGGTCACCTGTGAAATTTAATTTTTTACCTCCAAAAAAACTAATATGGGTAAATAAAGAGACACGTGGTCTGGGGGACTGCGATCGGTGAAAGACATCAAAAGACAGCTAAACCATAGTTATAACTCCCCTGTACATATAGATCGGTTCATATTGAAAAAATATATATATATTAATTGATTCAATTTAGCCGGTTTAATAGTCTGGGTTCACTTATAACAGGATCAATTCAGGAAAACCCAATTGAAAATTAATTGATTTTTTTCTAAATTTTTTATTAAAATAATATTATTTTAATATTATTTAAAAAAACAATATTTTTATATTAATATAGATAGAATCAAGTTAATATCTCAGACTAAATCAATCTTTAATTTAGGTTTTATAAATTGGAGTTGGGCATTATTTAAAAATATGATTGGAACTGTATTTTAAAAAAAATTAATTTTTTACTTAAAATTAATTTTTTTATGTTTTTATATTATTTTTAATATACTAGTGTTAAAAATAATTTTTAAAAAATAAAAATATATATATTATTTTAATATATTTATAAATAAAAAATATTTTAAACCCCAATAAACAACTTCTTCATGATAAACACAGCTATTTATAATATATTTTTTAACATTCATTTTACTATGCTTGCTTTTGTACGAACAAACTAGGCATGTACAAGCATGTTTAGAAAGGATGGGGGAGAGAAAAATGAACATGAGTGGCAAATCAAAAGGCAAGATTGCGAGGAAGCTGGAACTTGCAATCATAATGATTACTCTAAATCATAAATCTCGTTGTTTTATTTACATGCACGTATTATATCCCACGTAGTTGGAATAAATATACATATAATACTTGGTTGATTGGAGTGAAGAAAAATAACAATTTTGTTTTTTTTCCCTAACAAACTTCTTATATACTCAATGACAAATGATTATCAAATGGTCTATTTATTAAAAAAAAATCATCTTATTTTTTTATATATTATTTAAAAAAACAAATTACAGATTAGATAAGTTAACCAGATCAATCTAAAATTATATCATTTTTTAATAATTTTTATTTAATAAAATTAAAATAACATCGTTTTAATTTTTTTAAATCAAATTGAATTTTAAACGGATCAACTAAGTCATGAATTGACTCATCAGATAAGCCAAGTTTAGCCTAATCAACCAGCAATGAATTTAATTTAAAATTCAACTTAGGTTAAGCTAAATTTAATAACATTACATGAAGGATTATCAAATGGTCTATTTATTACAAAAAAAAAATTATCTTATTTTTTTATATATTATTTAAAAAATGATTATCAAATGGTCTATTTATTAAAAAAAAATCATCTTATTTTTTTATATATTATTTAAAAAATCAAATTACAGATTAGATAAGTTAACTAGATCAATCTAAAATTATATTATTTTTTAAGATTTTTTATTTAATAAAATTAAAATAATATCATTTTGATTTTTTTAAATCAAATTAGATTTTAAACGGATCAACTGAGTCATGAATTGACTCATCAGATAAGCCAAGTTTAGCCTAATCAACCAGTAATGGGTTTAATTTAAAATTCAACTCAGGTTAAGCTAAATTTAATAACGTTAAGCTAAATTTAATAACATTACATGAATGAAAATGCAACCACAAATTGAAAATGACATTTGCAGCTCTGGCATTTGGTTAGTGTTCCGAGATAGAAAAGATGGAGACAATCAAAAAATAAATATGTTTGGTTAAAGGAATAGAGATATAAAAATAAATATTCTTGACACATTTTTATTTTTGCATGTTTTAGTTGGATAGTTTTGAAATTGAAAGTTTTTTTACAAAGATATTTAGAAATAGAAAATAATAAATATTGTTTCCTGAAACATGTCATTTCTATACCTCATGTTTTAGAAGTGTATAAATTCACTCAAAATCGAGGCTTGGATCATGGGTCGATTGACCCGATTTAACATAAGAATAAAAATAATTATCATCATAGTTAGGTTGATTAATCCAATTTAATATAAAAATAAAAATAATTATCATCATAGTTTTTAAATCTGATTTAAAGGTCAATCTAGAGCAAGGTTTGGGTTACAAGTGAAGTTAACTATTGATTCGGGTTAACATAAGAATAAATATTATTATTATAATAATTTTAAAACTCAATTTAAAAATCAACTCGGGATAAGGTCCATGTCTCGTCTTAAAAGGATCAATCATAGTTGACCCAATTCAACATAAATAAAGTGGTTATTATTGTAACTATAAAACTCAGTTCAAGGACCGACTCAGGGTAAGGCCCAAGTCACGTGTTAAGATGATTAACTCAAGTTGACCTAGATCAATATAAAATAAAAATAGTTATTATTATAGTTTTAAAATTTAATTCAAAGATCAACTCGAAGCAAAGCCTTGATCATGGATCACGAGAGTTAGCCCATATTAGTGTGGGAATAAAAATTATTATTATCATAGTTTTAAAACTTGACTGTGGGATCAACTCAAGATAAGGTTCAAGTTATGAGTCTGGAGAATCAATCTAGGTGACCTAACATTTTTATTTTTATTTAAAAAAAAATCAACAAGTTTTTCGCAAATATTTTATTCCGAGTTGATCTAAGTATTTGATCACATCATGTTAAGTTAGTTATTCCTCTATTTTTAAAACTTAAATCAGTTCAAGTCTTAGATTAATCTACTAAGTCAGTTCAGGTCTTGTAACTATAATTATTATAATATTATCAATTTTAATACTCGATATAAACTAAAATAAAAAATTATTATTTTAAAATATATTAGTTTGATAATAATATATATTAAAAATAAAATAATTTTTTTCATAGTTTATTATGTCTTATTTATTATAACTAAACAAGATATAAAAACAATTATTTTATCTTATATTTTACTACTATATACAATTTTATCTTTATTTTATTTTATATCTTATCTTTCTTATACTGAGGATAATAACCAAAGATGGGATAACAATAACTTTTTAGGAGAAAAGGAAGGGAAGAATAAGGAATATATAATCTTGTGGATTCTATTCGTTCGGTGGAGTGAACAACACAAAAAGTGGATCTTAGCTTCGTTGGCATCTGTGGGCCGACGTCCATTCCGTCCACCCATGTCCTGCGAATTTCACGTGTGAATAACAGAGAACTTTTCTCAAGCGGTATGGTTGACGCGTATAATAATTGACTGATTAAATTCTTTCGAGTCCCCATATATTGCACATTGTTTCATTTTAGTACATCTTAGTTGCCTTTACAGTCATAAAACTATGAATTTACCTCTCTCCCTCCCTCTCTCTTATCCAAGTATTAGGCGATAAAAATATCCAAATCCTATTGTTGGGAAAAAAATTATAAATTTTGAGATTATTTTTATCAATTTTACATGGGTGTTTTATATGTTCTCTCCCTTTTTAATATTTTTTCGTGATTTAATCTAATTAATATATCTATTCTATGATCAAATAAATAATCGTTTTAGATTTTGCATGTATGCTCATCGGCGCATTATACAATAATAAAAATATAAATAACATATATAATATTCAAGACTAAAGTTGATGGTTTGAGATTATATTACTTTTTTATTTTATTTTATTTCATTATTATTAGTTTTTGGTGGAACCTTCTCCAACTTGTATAAACTCATTACCTTACATTATTCTATTATTGGTGGTTCAAGAATTTTTTTTTTTACATATATATAATTTAAAATATACGAGAATATCATGATTTTCAGATCTACTGAATATTTTATAAATTTAATAGATAAATAAGTGATAAATAAAGCATTATGGGAATGGCAGGTATATAGAAAGGAGATCGAATCCAAATATAA